GTTGCCCGATCGGTTTAGGGGAGGTTTTATCCTATTTTATTTATCTATTTGCTTTTTGTTTTTATTTTGGTGTTTTGGTTCGTTTAGTGCAGCTTTGTCTACTTTTAGTGCAGCTTTGTCTGCTTTCAGTGCAGCTTGTCTGCTTTTAGTCTCTTTTTGGAGTTTTGTTTTGTGGTTGTTTGCCTCCTTGATGGAGTTTGTACCCCCTTGTGTGTGATAACAAGGGGGGTTAGTCCAGTCTTCTGGTTCCAGTGTGTCATTTGACACTTCGGTTGTACTCTTTTGAGTTTTTCAGTTATTAATATAATTGTCGTTTGGAAAAAAAAAAAAAACATAATTTTAAACAAAAAATTGTCATTATTGTAACGTACTTATTATCAGTTATTACTAATAAGAATCTCGTGCGATGCACGGGGATTTCGTATCGTAGAACATTTATTTAAAACTTGATTTTAATAATATATTAGTCTGGTGACCCGTTCATATTCATATAAACAATATTTAGCAGATATGTTTATTTTTTAATACATAAATAATTTTACATATTTTGGTTTATCATAATTTTACATATTCTTTTTTATGTCATGATAAATATTAAATATATATTAATATTATTTATTGGTGTAATTAATTTAAAAATATATAAGCAATTTTAATGTTTGTTGTAAAGGTGATTATATGTAAATGAATATAAAATATAATATATCAAATAAAATATGCTTATGATATTTTCTTATATGTTTAAATGAATTTGAAATTCAAACTACAAATCAACCGCCAATTTTTCAAATAATTTAAAAAAAAATTACCAAATGTGGTAAAATCTAAATTTTTCGGTGAACTTTATACTTAAAGTAAATTCCTATCGCTATTATATAGTAATAGATAATAGATTTTTTACTATTTTGCTATCACATTACAGGTGAATATTACTTTTTATATCAAATTATTTTTTATTAAATAAATAAATGACTATCTCTTTAACTATTATTTGCTCAACACCTTTCAATTCCATCAATGGATGATTTGAGATGTATGTCCAGTTGAGTTATATGCACGAGAGTTTATAAAATATTAAATTTTTTGAGGCATTCAATTTATTAAATATTATGATTTATAAAATAACATTACTTGTGAAATTTAAAAATGAAAACTAAAATGCACGTGCTAATATACAATCAATCTCATATTTTTACACTTTTTTTTCTCAAAAGTATTAGTCAAAATACAAAATATTAAACACGACCGCATTTTTTTTTTAAAAAAAAAAATACTAGATAACTAATAAAAGTATTAATATGAACTTATAATAATAATAATAATAATAATAATAATAATAATAATAATAATAATAATAATAATCTATACTTATATTAAAACTCATACTATTTACCAAAAATAGTAGCAAGAAAAATCAACTCACATTTAATGCATACTTTATTTATAAATTTTTTACTATATGCATTAATTGTTTGCATATACACATTTCCTATTCAAATATAATCAAAAAGATTCTTTTCTTAAATAATTTTATTAACTTCTGCAATAATTTTAATTATATGTATTATAATTCATATTTGACGATAATATTTTTTAATTTTTATTTGAGTATATAAAAATATATATATATTTTTAAATTAATATTTTATTTATCATTTAAGAGATAATGATCACATCATTAAATGATGTTACTAATGGCTAGATAATAAATTTAAATACATTAGTTATTCTTTAAAATTTTGACATGTTATTTATTTGTATATTTATACTTATTATATAAGGTATTCTATTTACCAAATTTAGTAGATTGAAAAGTCAACGTAATTAATGCATTGCTATTTCTCTCCAGAATTTTATTTAATTATTTTATTTATTTATCTTTTATCCCATAAAATCAGTTTAAGAAAAAAATCTCATAACATCTGACAAGTAAAAAAAAAAGACGTAAAATCTTTACTAAAATAAAAAGACTTTATTTATTTGTCTTATTCCATATTAACATCGATTTTGTCAAAACAAATTCCATAAAATCAGTGAAGCCAAAATTTGTACGTAAAGTCTATCTATACTTAAAAAAAAGTCAGATTCAAAATTTTTTATCTAATTCCTTCTTTTTCTTATCTATTTCCTTCTTTTCCTTATCCAATTTCTTTTTATTATCTAATTGTATGAAAATCTGTTCTGATTTTGTTCGATCCTCTAATTGTATTTATATTATATTCCATAAAACCTGTTTAACAAAAAAAATCCCATAACATCCGATAAGTAAAAAAACAAAGTACGTAAAATCTTTACTAAAATAAAAAAGACTTTATTTATTATCTAATTTATTATCTAATTTATTATCCAATTGTATGGAAATCTGTTCTGATTTTATGGTACGTACTACAAATTGTGCACTCATATTCAAGAGCTACTTAACGGACACGTTATGTGGAAATGACTCATTTAGTGCTTCTGTCCCGTGCATACGGTATGTATTTTTATTACACATACTAGAAAATTGTGCATCCCGTGCATCGCATGAGCTCTGTACTAATAAATGACATTAAAATTATGCACCCCGTGCATCACCCGTGTTTACATTTTGGCCTATTACAGGTCACGTACTATATATATCTCGTACATATTTTTTTATAATTCATTTAGATAATTATAAGACTCGATAAATGACCTTAAAATTGTACACCCCGTGTATCGCATGGGCTCTGTACTAGTAATAATAATAATAAGCCGAAAGCTTAAATGCGACCCCACGCGCTTATAATTGTTGGATTAGTTACATTGAAACTTTAAAAAATGGCGTGGCGCGAGCGTCACGGAGGAAATTAAGCAAATTATTCAAATTTTGACCAATCGCAAATGGGACCTCATAAGTCAAACATGGTAAGGTGGACTTTTTGCTAATTAGTAATTACTAGTGTTGTCCACAAATATGAGGTGAAACTTAGAGCACGTTTGTATACAAATATTTTCGTTTAAAATGAGTCTTTTTGATTAATTATAATTAATTTTATAAGAAAATAGTATAATTAATTATTAGTGAAATTTTAATTTTATATTAAAAATATTTAAAATAAAATAATTAAATTTGATTTGATGTAATGTATGAGGGAGGTGATATGAAGTTATAGTTAGTTAAAATTATGTGAGTGAATGAAAAATAAATTAAAGTTGATGTGACGTGTACAGTGCTTCAAAACGCGTTGCGTTTTGGTCTTTATATTGCGTAACGTAAATAGCGTTGCGCGTTGCATAAGCTATTTGAGTATAAAAAATATTTTTTTATATAAATATTATATATATACTTTCATATAATAAAATTAGATGGTTAGTTGTAAAAATTATCAGAACATTTGTATGAATAACATTTAAGATTTATTTCTTACAAATGTTTAATGCAAATATCATAATATACATATTTAAACTATAAAGCAAACATATTAAAAATTAAAAACAAACAACAAAAATATAATAACATAAGTCATAATTTGCTTAATTTGCATATACATTGCATTTTTTTAATTTAATTACAATTTAATTATATCCACTAGATCTGAAATTTTTATTCTTAAATTTAAATGTCAAATACCAAAAACCATAATGATATATATATATATATTGCATTATTCAACTCTGGACTTTGCATATTCAAAATTTTAATTTGAAATCATGATAAAAAAAAATTATTTTAGTTGTCATTTAAAAAAATATAACTTTAATTCCTAAAAAATACAAGGTTTTTTTAATATTTTTTGTTTGAATGTCGTTGTAAAAATATAGCGCAAAGTAGCCTGAAATTGCGCCAAATAGCATAAAAAAGTATGCTATTTCAACATTTCGCGTGAGTTTTCAGGAAAAACTCTACATATAAAGCTACGTCAGTTTTTTGGATAAAAAGCAATATAGCGAGCTATTAAGACAGTGGATGTGTAAGATGGTTGATTAATATTATTTAATTATATTAATAATATTGATGATGATGATGTTGAATTAAAGTTGAGTTAGTTTTGAATATGAATTGAGTAAGGATTGATATTTCATATACAAACACACTCTTAAGGTTAAGTAGCATACTCGTGAGTTTTCTGATCTTATGTGGTAAATTTACATACATTGAAATTTGGTTTTAGTAAATTTTAGTTTACTCTCAATTTAAATTAAGTTTGGAATAATCGTAATACACTATATATGTATGGTCGTTTTTAAAAGCATTAATATACAAGTAGAATACACGACACTAACCAAAAGCAAGCTCAAGAGAATGAGTAGAGTTATTGATACAACTGATACTGTTGATATTGTTTGAATCTTACCCTCCCTCCCAAGATCAAAATACAAGCGTAGAGCAAAATTATGAGAGATTGAGTTGCGGGCCGAGGGAAATCGGATGGGCCGTAATCTAAACAAACAAACACTCGTTTATGACTGAATAAGTGTTACAATCTTATCTAGTCTTAGTTAACAAACGTGACCTTAGAGTGTGACTGATGAATATATTAACCAAAAAAAAAAAAAAAAAGAGATAATCAAAACTTAAATTTAAACATAACTTTAACATAACATCACTATCCTCAATATTATTAACATAACTAAATAATATCATTCAATCATTCTTACATATCACATCAATTTTAATTTAGTATTAATTTACCACGTAATTTTAACTACACGTCATTTTTCTAATACTTTTACATGAAATCAACTTTATCATTTTATTTTGAATATCATTTTAAGACAAATTAAAAATATCACTCAAATATAACTCATTATTATTTTTGTTTTGAATATCATTTTAATACAAATTTATAATATCACTCAAATCTAACTCAATTATTATTTTTTTTTCAAAATTAATTATAGTTAAAAAAAAAAAAAATTCTAAAACCAAATACATATAAAACGGCCCATATCCAATTCCACTCTAGTCGTGTTTGATCAGGCATTTTTAGCTACAATTTGCTGCTTACTCATTTTCAACAAGCGGCAGACCATAGAAAATGGAGAAACCTCCTCAAATTCGCCGATTTCATGAGCTTCCGTCGGCTGAGGAATTCGCTTCCAGGATTGAGCCCAGAAATGTTCCGGCGGTAATTGTTCTGTCACCTTCTTATTGCACGCAGTCTGCGTAAGTTTTGTTTATCTTTAAGTACTGAATGTTTGGCCTTTTACCGTGATTTTGAAGGTGTTCAGTGGCTGCGTAAAGAATTGGAAAGCTTTTTCTAAATGGGATGTGTCGAGTGGCGGTCTCGATTACTTGCAGGCATGTCGCTGTTTCGAAGTTTTTGAGACGAAAATAGGAGCTGAAGTACATATTAGAATTGTGTTCAGGTTCTTATTAGTTGATGAATAAACTTGGTGAACTATAACTGGCAGAGGAGATACCTTTTTCCTTGGAATGGGTACTGGTTTTCGGACCTCAAATTGTAGTAAACCTGACACGTTTAGTAAATTTCGTCTGAGACTCTGAATGGTAGTTTATACAAATGTGAAGTTGTGCTGAATCTTCGCATTGGAAGTGACCAGAATGAACTTTTGAATCTAGAGAACATGTTTAAGATTTAACTATTATTGATATCGAAACGATCCTTTGTATCTGCAAAATATTGATATTAAGAATTGACTTCCGAACATGTGTAAACGTGGAAGAATGGAATTAATGGGCGGGATCGTGAAAATGAGAATGATGCCTTTGTGTTTGAAGATACATGAAACATTCGAAGGGTTATTTCTTGTCATCAAGAATGATAATATGGGATTTTATTTCTTGTTATCAAGAATGATACTATGGGATTCTTCTTTTGGTAGTAGTTCAATTTCTTTTCACACAGGGATTATCATTAGCTGTTGGAACTATAGGATTTGACAGTCTACTTGTTTCTGATTGGATTAGACTGACAAAAGTTTGTCTAAGATTGAAAAGTGAGTTGAAATTTGTGGACTTATGAACACCACTCATTATAATTGTTTATGTTATGTCTGGAGATGTCATCGACATTATTTACCATGAAAAGCAGGAATTGGTGGGCTCATCAGTTGTAGGGGCTATGATATCCAGTTCTGCGCCTGTATTTTATGGAGATATAAGAAGTCATGAAAGGGTGAATATATCTGATCTTTACTTACAAGAATGTAACGTGAAGGTAGAAATCATTGAGCTTCTCATATGCAGTTTTTATGCTTTTTGTAGGTTCCACTGCCATTTTCTACCTTTATTAGATACTGCAAAGATCTTTTACAATGTGGTGATGGTGCCCAAGGCTCCAATTCGCCTTTAAGGAAGCATAAACCGGAGGAACATATTTTTGAACGTGCAAATCAAATTACAGAAGAAGAATGTTCGCAGCAAATCTATTTAGCGCAGGTTGTAAGTCATGGTCCAAATCAGGCTGTTAATTGTGCTGAGCCGTGATAATTTATAATGGGGCACTTCTTAGAAAATAGCAAAATGAAGTTTATCATCGTTACTGAAATTTTATCATCAACTTCAAAGTATTTGTGGACTCTTTATTACACTCCGATGGGCAATGATACAATTCCTGTTTCATTGTTCATATTTAGAGTAAATTTTAAATCAAGACATGGTATACCACCAAATGCATTATAAAATAACTATGGATCCTAAATTATCTAACTTGGTATATGTTAATGCACAAGTCTTAACCTGATGTTATGTGAACCCAATTTTACTCTTCCATTTGTCATTTCTTACCATGTTGTTCTCATCGTTACAATTCTATGCATAATGAACTCATGTAATTTAGTTGGTCAATCCGTGCATATATTGTTTAAATACTCAAGTTTGTAGCACCCATCTTATCTTTTCATACACGCACTGATGTTGGTAGTTGCTAATCATGTCAGTTTCACATTTTAATGTCAAAGGAAATTAGCCAATATACCGTGCATATCATTGTACCCGACAACAGTCGGAGGTTCATTTGTCAATTTCAGATGGGCTTTGTGGATGCATGTAAATATATCTTGCTAAATTGCCTGAAGCACGCTGAAGCTACTCAGTTGAGTTTGAATGGGTGAAATTGTTAGGGGGTGATTGGATATGAATTCAACTAGTAAAAAACTAGTTTTATTTTAACTATAGTTAAGTTTGAAAAAAAAGTAGTATGGTTAGTTGTTAGTGGATATATTAAATAATATTTAAATTGAAATAATTAAAGTTGATTTGATGTAAAAGTAGGAGAAAATGATTGGAAGTGATGGTTAGTTAAAATTATGTGAGTGGATGAATAGTGAATTAAACTTGATGCGATGTGTAATAATGATTGGTTGATATTATTTAATTATATTGGTAATATTGGAGATAGTGGAGTTGAGTTAAAGTTGAGTTAAATTTGAGTTTTGAGTGAGATATTTACTGAAGAATACATATACAATCACGCCCTTAGCGTGCTAAGTGTGCCTTAGATCATTCGTAATTTACTTACTAGCCTTACCACTGAAGCTTTTATTATAATATTCTTTTATCATCCACGGCTTTAATATTCATTTTCAGTTTTTCCCTCAGCTGCTCTCGAGTTCCTAATATCTTGACCTGTCTTTTGGTTTTGTAGTTTTTGTTTTTAGGTTTCTTTTCCTAATTTTTGTTGTATAATTCAGGTACCAATTATGAATGCTGAAAATGAAGAGAATGCTCAGTTGGAATGCTTAAGAGAAGACATTGAAAGCGTGCGTATGTCATGTTTTCTGCATTTCCCTGCTTACTGCTTTGACCAGTGAGACTGGTACAGATCTCATGGTTAACATTGTAAACATACCTGCTTTTGTTTGACAGCCTGTATTTCTGGATGGCAAGAAACTTGCTTCCATCAATTTGTGGATGAACAATGCTAGGACTCGATCTAGTACTCACTATGATCCGCACCACAATCTTTTATGCATAATTTCAGGATGTAAACAAGGTAGGGGAGTACACCATATATTTGACATTTGTCGTTTAAACATTTCATCGTAGCTTAGATTAGATTTCCTACTATTAACATGCAGTTAGGAAAGGGAAAAGTTTATGCTGTGGATGAATATATATTGAACCACTTGCAGAGTAATAATCTTTAGCATGCTAGCATTGCTAGAATTGTGGAGAAGATGTTGCGATTTTGCCATTTATACCTTAAGATACATGACCAATGTTCTCTTTGCTGGCAATTGGTTTGAAGTTTCTGTCTTGTAAATAAGAAGGATCTAAAATGTCGGACATTTGATCTTGATTTTGATTTCCAGTTGGAGTTCCATTGACTTGTGTTCAGCTTTGGAACAGCATGTTACGAATGCTTGTGCTTGTAATTATATATTTACTTCCATAGAGATACTGTTTACTCGAACATATGAATAACATGGGAGTATTTTATGGTTTTATCTGAGGTACATGGACATGATCTTACCATGCCTTCTGTTATGCTGAACGAAAATCATTCTCCATTTTCCATTTTAACTCTTCTCTTTCATGCATGTCTGTTTCTATGTGTGTAATGTTGAAGGAAAATCATTATCCCTTTTCCATTTAACTTGTCTCTTTCGTGAGTTTCTGTTTCTGTGTGTGTAAATGTGTCGTCACTGAACTTCTGAAGTATAAGCATCAGGAACTCTTTATTTATCATACATCTCATGTGACTAGTTAAAGGAGTTATGAATGATATCCTGTCTTGAACTGTGGAAATTGTATTGTAACTCACCCTTCAGCAAAATATAAGATATCATCCGACTTCTGATATCCGTATTATTCAATTTTCAGTTGCTTTATTGCCGCCTTCAGCTTGCCCCTTCCTGTATCCGTTGCCCTTATATGGAGAATCTTCGAATCATAGGTATTTACTCTCTGTTTTATCAACTTTAAGAGTGGAGTAACATTCTCGCACCTCATTTTCCAATCTTCATCAGTTCAACGTAATCAACACGTTTCTCTCTGCCAGTGCCATTCCTTTAGAGAATACGAATTTCAGTCTCTATCCAAGGGCCATGTCGATGGATCAGTACTCCCAGAAGGTTATTCTTCATGCCGGTGATGCTGTCTTCATTCCTGAAGGATGGTAAGATTACTTTGTTAATTGTAACTAAGTCACATTGAAGTATCTTTCATAACATATTAAACTACTACCTTTAATTTTGAGTGAGCACATTATTGGATGTACATGAAAGTAATTTTTAGCATATTAGGTTACATTTTAAAACTGAATTAGTTTAAGCTTGACCAATTATAATCTAACTCACTTCAAAATTGAAGTAAATTATTAAAAAAATCCAGGGAATTAATTTACAATTCAACAAGAAAATTAAAGAATGAATAAAGTTGAATAGTTCCTTTGGCATATGTTTGATTGAAGTTGATTTACGTCTGTTTAATTTTGAGGAATTATAACGCGGAAAGCAAAAAAATCACCATATGGAGTGCACCCTTGCAAACACATTATTTGTTCGTTTACTTCTTTTTTCTATTATATTGTGGAGCACATAAAAATTTCCATATACTAAGAACAGATGCTTTGGGAATTGAGTTATAGTTTTAAAAATATTTGTTAGCGTGGGTCTAAATTAGTGCTAGTTTACCACTTGACAGACTGAGTTTCTTTAGAACAATATATGCCATATATTGAGTCATTAAGTTAGATGATCTGCACAATTGGTGAATATTGGTGGATTTTCGAAATTTTGTTACCTCTGTCTGCTCAAATATGTTCTATAAATTCTGTTCCAGGTTCCACCAAGTGGACAGTGAGAATTTAACTATTGCTGTAAATTTCTGGTGGCGATCTGACATTATGTCAAGCATGTCAGATCACATGGACGCATACTATCTACGTAGAATATTGAAAAGGTACGTTCCAGCATATTGAATATGGTCCTTGGTTGTTCGTGAGTTACTAACGGAAAAACTAACCTTTTCCTCCTTTTCTCCTCTTTGGCCTCCTTTCATTTTGCCCCCCTCCAATGTCAACTCTAAGGCTGACTGACAAAGAAATGGTGAGTAAATGTTGATGTTTACATGTTAGTTATCTTTTACATATGTGAAAATCTGTTATTTTTTTTATTTATTTAGCCATTTGAGTAGATTTTTCTGAACAGCGAAATAACTAGATTTATTTGTAATCTGAGCAATCAGATATATGTGAATATACATGTGTAAGGAACAGTGTTAATAGACTTCTGGTTCAACCTGATGCCTCTACATGGAAATAATCATTTTATTGTCTTATACAGACACTCTTCATTGTATCTTGCATGAAATGAAATAACTTATCATTGAAAGCTTAACACATACACATTAAAATTATACATTGGTTCTCTCAGCTGGCAAATCTCGCTTATATTTGCACCGGAATAGGTATCTCAACATGACAATCAAAAGTTCAGATATCTGATTTCTATTCACTTTGCTATCCACGAAGGACCAAAAAATTATGTTGTGTGTCAGTTTCCAGCATCACATACACCTAGTTGCTCAAAATTTTTATTCTACCTTTGTGGTGAAATGGAAAGTACGTGAAAAGCACCTTAACTTGCCTCACGATCAGGGCAGGACCGGATGCTAGGTAAGCCTTCACATGCTGTCAATACAAACATCGCTGTACATGGTCAGTCTAGTAATGGTAATGCAGGTTTCTCAACTCTTGGTACTCTTTTCAATTTGTTAGATCCATTTTTTATGTTCTCTTTCAATTGAGAAATTTTGTAGTTTTTTTTTACTAATGGTAGTTTGTTTGAATATGTGAACATGTCAGTTAACCATAACGATGATACCATGGATAGGAAGAATATTGCTGCAAGTGGTCGGCCTGGTAATGATAATGGTGGTGAATGGTCTAATCACAACTCCTTCTACTCCTTCAATTTGCTGGATCTGTTTTCTCTATTATTAATAATTTTTTTACTAATGATAGTTTGTTTGAATATGTGAACATGTCAGTTAACCATAACGATGATACCATGGATAGGAAGAATATTGCTGCAAGTGGTCGGCCTGGTAATGATAATGATGGTGAATGGTCTAATCACAACTCTTTCTACTCCTTCAATTTGCTGGATCTGTTTTCTCTATTTTGCTTCACTTGAGAAATCTTCTTGTTTTTTCATTAATAATAGCTTGTTTTGGGAATGCAATGTGAACATGTCAGGTCACCAAAGAGAAGATTTGTATCTGAACCATCTGACAGTGACTGTGAAAGAAAATGAGCAAGAATTTTCATTGCATGAGCTGCAACCACATGCACTTAAATCTCTCCATGAACTTGTTTCCTTAGTCCATAACCTTGTAAACCAGAACCAATCAGTAAGCAACTTTTCAGCGGATCGATCCATTAGCTGCCCAGATGAAGATGAAGTCAAGGGAATTATTAAAACAGACATATTTAATTTGGAAGCTGATGCAATTGCTAATGTTGTTTGGAACCTCGATCCATGTACCTTTCGAAGCGTCTTTCTCGCCATGGCAGTATGTTCTTATTTCCTTTCAGATACTGATTCCATTTTCTTTTACAGATGTTCCAATCAGGGGGAGATAAAAACAAAAATAGACTTGATTCTATCTGCTTTACTTTACTATATTGGTCTTGTTCCTTTTTGCTTCCCACATTCTTCTACACACTTAGCTATGTTAACAGTTTGTCTTATACCACATGGAGATATAGTTATTGTTTCAGACTGAATGTACAGATCAAACTGCTAAGAATCAAAATGGAGAAATCTTTCACCGGATCATGCATTATGTATTGAAAGATAATTCGTAGCTACAGACAATTGAATTTTGTCTGAAATTAAAGTTACGATGATTATCATTCATCTGGATAGATGACGCTGGCTCCTGAAATTCAAATTTTGCTACTTTGATATTCTAATCTGGTATTTGATGACCCCATTGATATGGTGGTAATGTACTAATCAATAAGTTTGTAGTAAGACAATTAAGATTTTTGTATTACATTGGAGTTTATTTTATTTAATACTGGCACTAAACCTTTTCTCTGAGTCAATTAAATGCTTCAGTTTTCTGGAATGTTGGACGGAACATCAGACACAATTATAGGAGTTTGCCCTTTTGTTTTTTTCTGTTTTGTATTTGTTATCTTTAACTTTTGGCCCAAAAACATTTTGTTTTCTAGTTGAACGATTGCTGTATTTATGAGATGATGTCTGTAGGTGCTGCTTTATGTGGTGTTTCCTGTCGTTTTTCTTCAGAATTTAAGCTGCCTAACTTTGAACATTTTTTCGCTGGCAAAATAACTGTATTTTTAATCATTCTTAAGTTTCATCTTTCCTTAAAATTGGTGACTGTATTTTTCAGCACAACTTTCCGAGGACACTGGAGGCTTTTGTCATGCATGGTCTCTCATCTGTGGGCGCAGAAGTCCTTACCAGGAAATTTGAGCAGATGGATCAAGTTATTTCCGAAGATGATAGGTACCTATTGATTTTCTATTATGGCGGTTTACTACTTAATGAAAAGTTAACTTATTCACTTATTGTTTTTTTTTTTCTTCAAATATTTATGTTCCAGGAGTCAATTTTACCAGAAATTTTACAGTGTGTTCGATAATCAGTTCTCTGCCATGGATACTCTTCTAAATGGAAAAGAGTCATTTGCACGCCAGGTGTCTTATTATTCTTCTTTTGCAATTTGTCAAACATTACTACATAGCCTCTTAAAGATGGATGAAGGAGTTTATAAAGTTGGTATTTCATCTTTTACAGTCTGTCGATTATCACCTTTCTCATGAAATCTCAAATTGGAAGGGATTCTTTTCATATTCAGACATCATTACTATCTTTAGGATCCCGTAAAGTCCAATTATAACAACTAAGAGAACATTTACTTGTAATCCTTTTCAATGGAAGAAATAACGGAAGCAATGTGTATTTTATTTTATTTTTAAATACAATCATGTTTTAATTCATTATCCTTGTGACAGATTATCCTAGAGATCTATCGTTGTGCATTTGTGACCTCAAACATGTTTTTTTTTTTTTTTTTT